CCGTCGAACTGCAGCAGGTGGGAGTGGTACTTCCTGTGGGACAGGGGAAGGTCAGTCAAGGTCAGCCTCTGGTCCTCACAAACACAGCAACATGTGTTTCTGACCAGAGGGAGGGCCGGTGGGTGATGGACAGCAGCGCTATCCCAGCATCCTTTGCAGCCTGGAAGATCTTTCCCTCCACGTCGATGCTGACGGCGCTGGTGCATTCATCCAGGAGGGCGTACCGCGGCCTGCGGGGGAGACGGCCAATCAGCTGAAGAGAATCACCACACCCACCAATCACAGCTCTCTATGATGTCACAGGGAGGCACCATGACCCCCAACGCCTGAACCGGTTGGACCTGAACTATCAGTGAAGAAGCAGTGAAGGTACCGGTGGTAGAACATGCGGGCCATCCCCATCCTCTGCTTCTCTCCTCCAGAAAGAACATCTTTCCAGTCGCTGACAGACTCCCAGCCTGAAACACACACAGAGTTACTGTGGTACCGCCGTAGAACTACTCCAGTACTCCTGTAGTACTGTGGCTGCAGCTCACTGACCGCCCTCCCTGTCCAGGATGTAGAGCAGGTGGACGGTCCGGAGGATCTCCTCCAGGTCCGAATCCGTCAGTCCCTTCCGGACCAAGTCGTCCACCGAGTCCGGATAGATGACCTGGTCTCTGAGGGTTCCCTCTGACATGTAAGGCCTGCTCAGAAACAGAACCAGTCAGAACCAGAACCAGCCAGAACCACAGTGGGAACCAGGGTGTTTACCTCTGGGGGATGTAGAACATGTTGTGCGGTTCTGGTCGGTACAGAGCTCCTCTGTAAACGGGCCAGAGCCCACTGAGGATCCTGAACAGCGAACTCTTCCCGCAGCCATTTGGACCCGTAATCAGAACATTCATCCCGTCCTCCACCTGCAACACAGAAACACGTCCTGTGACCAGAACCAAGACCAGAACCAAGAGCTGGAAGGCTCCCAGGATTTTCTCAGCTCAGTAGAAGAGCAGAATCTCAGTGACTCATCTGGACCCATCAGAACACAAAGACGGTTCTGTTTCCATCAGTTTTCTCTGGGTCGACCTTTGACCTCCCCAGAACACAATGGGATCCTTCACGCCGGACCTGATCTGGTCCTGCAGAAGTTCTGGCCCAGTCCAAGTCGACTAGCAGAAGCCCAGATCCAGAACCGGTCAGGGTTCTGATGGGGTCGTCATCAGCTGGTTCTGACCATAAACTGCCCCAGAAATTATGATGCTAAACAATAATAATGTTTTTAAAGAACATTTTCAGCTCGAATAACCATAAAAGCAAAAATAATACAGAAAAGATCAATAAGCTTTAATTTCTAAGATTTAACTCTGGAAGATATTTTAAATAGCCAAAAATAAATACACAAAACAGCAGAAATAAAATTTACCTTAAAAAAAGATATTAATAGAAAAAAAACACTTTAATCATTAACAGGGAAAAATGCAAGTTTGGACGTTTGTAAAAAAAAACAAACAAAAAAACCCACATAAATTTTTTTAAATATTTTGCTCTTTGTGTAATGAATCTGTATGAAATGACTTTTCCTTTTCGGAACTTTAACCCAACATTTTGGTCGGTGTATCTGGAGTTAGTGCTCCCTCTGCTGGTCACCAGGCGGAACTGCCACTGAGGGCCGGATGAGGTCGTTCAGAAAAACCCAAAGAAACCAAACATGTCCGACCGGCCAGTTTATTAGGCACAGCTGCCTGCTAACACAGTCAATCAGCCAATCACAGGGCAGCTCATCAGGCAGGCGAGGAGAAAACCATCAGATTGAGCAAAAAACCAGGAGTCTTAACACGGCTGAAGGTTCCAGATGGGCTGATCTGACCAGAACCTGCTAATCTGCTGGGAGTTACACCCAGAACCACGTATCGAGTCTACAGATCAGAATTTCATTCATAAACACCATAAATCAGCCTGAAGAACGGCTGCAAAACTGAAGTAATGGATCCACTGGGCCACCAGGACATTCTGGTTATCATGGTGATGTAACTGAACCTAAACAGAACCACCTTCACAGCCAATGGACCGCGATCAGTGAGACGAACCTGAATGTTGAGGCTGGATACCACAACGTCTCCAGTAGGCGTAATGATGGGCAGGTTCTCACAGCGAATCCCATTCTCCACGCTGATCACCTGACCTGGAACACAGAAACACATCAGGAGCTGGCTGCAGTCACAGGGAATGACCAGTACAACAACCTGGAAAAACCTGGAATATCCTGGAAAAACC